AACTACCTAAAAATAAAAATATATACGGTTACAAAAGTTGGTAAATTCTTTCTCTGGAACTTATTGCTTCATTATTGTCATTATAATTGTTCATACTTATTTTATGTATACTAAATTATCATATTGTGAAGTAAAGTCTGACAACTCTTCAAAATAAAATAAAAACCTATTTTAATGTATGCAACGGTACAAACTAGTACGATGTAATATACACTACTACTACTAATACTGTTGATTGATTTAGTGGATCTACTATATTTACGATGTACTATACGGTTGTAGTACACAAAAAAAAATTATATTAGTAGTTGTGCTGGAATGAAGATGTTTTTATTTAAATACTGACTAACGATTTCTAATGTAAACTGTTCAAACAACATTGTGATATAGTTTGACGCCACTTAATCATTTCAACAAGTTCTGTAAATTATTTGCAAACTTGAATGTTTGATCGTCGTTAAGCAGAGTTGTTTCAACACTCAAGTTATGACACTGGTTTATTTATTCTCCTTGTCAAGCGCCAAGACAGAACTCATTACTCTGTTTTAACAAGGTATTGTATTAACTATTATCTCAAACCGTACCATGTCTTATTGATATTATAAAGTAAAATATTATTTTATGGTTAGGGTAGGGTTATGTTTGATTTTAAAAGTATTGTAACAATGATACATTCGATAAACAACGCATATCAAAATAACAACAATATTTTTTCCCTTGATGTGTTGGAAATTTTTAAATAAGTTTGGTTTACTGTTTATAAATTACCTGGAGCTTTACATGTGTATTGCAAGGTGCAAAGATGTTATGATATACAAAGTACCATTTGAATCTGCAAAAGATCCTTTTAATTTTTGGATGTATTTGTTGGATGTATTGTACTTATCTTGGAAATATTCTATTTAATAATGCTATATCCAACTGAATGTGTCGCATTTTAAAGTTGTAAACATACAATGTGTGAAATTAAGTAAAATTACTAAGTAACCATTGAATACTAGAATTGATAAATACTGTTAAAACGCGATACTGACTCTTCTAAAAGGGATATACTTTTAAAACATAGAACAAAATATCTACCAATTTTAATCAGACATAACTATTCAAGACCAACTCTAATAATCAAACCAAAAGGAAAACACTAACTGCAAAATGTAAACAAAAAAAAAACATCTGATGAATTAAATTAATAGCCTATATAAATAATCATCTAGAGACAGTCATTTTCAACATACTCCCACCTTTTGAGTCTTAAGTTTTCATTATTTAAAGACTCAAAACACATATTATCATATTAAAAGTTCAGTCTTTTTGGTAACTTAATTTCTTTTTCCTCGTTTTCTAAATTTAACTTTATTTACAACTTTTCCATTTGAACTTTCTTTATCTTGCACTTCTTCTACTTCTTTTTTGTTTGAACTTTCTGAGTTCAAAATTGCTATACTTGATGATACAGACTTTTTAAATTCATATCCAAAAGTGTCTTCATCACATTCACAAATCTTATTATTTTCGGATTCCATCTTGACAGTTACAGGATCCTCTATATTAGGAATGTCTACACTACACTTGTCAGAAATAGGTGTTAACAAAGATGTTATAGTCATTACACTTGATCTACATGTCACTCCTTTTACTTTTACTTTCCCCTAACACCCAACCAAGTAAGGTTTCCATTGCAACTAAATCATTTGTCAAAACATGACGTTTCCCTGTAAACAACTTTCCACCAATATCAGATCCAATCAAAACTTCAATTGGCCATTCTACAGTGTCAGAAACATTAAAACCAAAAGACTGTAATTCGTTCATCCAAGGGCCCGCTTTGATTTCTGAAATATTATTACATATCACATCTTGATCTAATACCTCAAAGTTGCAATAGTAATTGTTACCCAAATCACTTAACCTTACTTTATGTCGATTGTGTTCAACAGCATTTGTTACTGATCCACCAAACAATGCATGATTAAGGGTTTCCTTTCCAAATGATACATACCCCATTTCTTCTGCAGTTTTCTTCAAAATGTAGGACCTTTGAGAACCAGAGTCAAAAATGACACGTGCTGCTCGTTCTTTATTACTTCCTCTAATATTCACACGTACAGTTTGTAAAAATACTTTAGAGTGTGCATTATTAGCTAAATTACTTTCACAAGGTACTAAAGTGTTATCATTAACATAATTTACATTAGATTTATCTTGAGACTTGTTACACATTACTGTTGCATGTCGACCATTGCAAAGAGAACAGTTTAGTCGAACATGACACTTCTTACTAACATGGCCATACTTTGTGCAACGATAACAACATCTGTTACTTGACAATAGGTTTACCTTTTTTAAATGTGTCAGATTACTACAACTCTTACAATTTTCTGTCAAATGTTTTTCACCACAAAAAATTCATTTCATAGGGGGTTTACCAACCTTTTGGTTGACAAGTCCGGCTGCAATTGGTATTGATTCCATTTCGTCTCTTAAGAATGGTTTGGATGACTTACCCAATTGTCTCTTCGAGTCCCCAAAACCTGAGGTAGCAAGTGAAATTCTTTCCTCATTTGTCACTTCAATTCGCAGAAACTTCAAAAGCGCATCGAGTCTATTCTTCAAATCAGCTTCTGGATCAAAGTCGGGATGACGTTGCTACGCCCTTAAAAGATCCTCTGGCAAACACGACTCAACTAATGGGTAAAGAATAGCCGCACATTTATCAGTAGTTACTCCTAATGTGTCAAGAGCTCTGATTTGACATTCTAATTTGTCAAATAAAGTAGAAATCACTACCTTTTGTCTCAAGTTATTGAGTAGCAGCTTTAAAAGTTCTCGAACATAGACTTCTATCAAAAGATCATCCCTTCCAAAACGACTTTTTAAACTCTGAATAGCATCTCTATAATTCTCTGATGTAGCAGGATAGCTATCTACAATTTGTCTCGCTTTAGAATTTGGAATAGTGGCCTGAACTAAATAGTGGAACTTATCAACATCATCAATAGAGGGATCTTCATCTATCCTCTTAAAAATTCCCCAAAAAGGAAGCCATTCTTTAAGATTCCCACTAAATTGTACTAGTTCAATCTTGGGAAGTCTAAGCTTAGTCTTTAAATTTGAACTTCCACTCTTAGCTGAATTACTACTGACCAAATCGTAATCTCTAGAATCATTCAACTTACTTTGTACCAAAACATTTACTTGATTGTAGGTTTCCAAATAACTATAAGCTTTAGACACTTCTTCTTCAAGAATTGCTTCACTTTCCTCAAATTGAAATAAATGGTCAGATATCTTTGTGTCTAAATTCTTTAACTCTTCATAAATCATACTTACAGTTTGAAACCTACCTTTTAATTAATCTAAGTGAACCGTTTCCCGTGTAAGTTCATCCTTTAAATGGTTCACTAGTCTTGAAAAGTGTGCCCTAACAACAGTTCTATGTTTCTTGTTCTTATTAAATTCTCTAACATCAGTTTCACTCATCATACTGTCCTGTCACGGTCGCCAAATGTTAAAACGCGATACTGACTCTTCTAAAAGGGATATACTTTTAAAACATAGAACAAAATATCTACCAATTTTAATCAGACATAACTATTCAAGACCAACTCTAACAATCAAACCAAAAGGAAAACACTAACTGCAAAATGTAAACAAATAAAACATCTGATGAATTAAATTAATAGCCTATATAAATAATCATCTAGAGACAGTCATTTTCAACAAATACAATGGTTTTGAATTTTTAACTTGAATGGATGGTGTTTTTGGCCTCTGGAGCACTCAAAACGAACAAGTAAATCGGTCCCGGGGCTCGATCTTACCATGAGACCTATCGTAACTTATTCCCTATATGGGAAATTTGCTAAAAGGGAAATATGCTTGCAGAGTATCATAAAAATGAGTTTACAGCTCCAATGTTTATAAAACAGCTTGGCTGACGTCACGAGAGGGCTTTTCCGGATGATTGATTCGTATCTCTTCTCTTATCTTGTCTCTCAAAGCTACTGACATTGCAGAGTATACTGATGCTCATATGATTAGTTGATAAGCCTTAATTATTGTCTTATAATTATTTCATATTTTGAATTAGACCTGCATGCGGACCAGCACACAATATCTCAATCACTTAATGAACTGAACATTTAGTACATACTCTTGAAGTTATTATTTATACATAACTTTAATTAATATAATTATGCCCTTAGGCCATTCTGACAATTTATTTTACTAAACTCACAGAAGTTTAGATATAATTCATACAGTTATAGTATGATTATGGAATAAATTTCGTCTTTGGTTGTCTTGGTTACTTAGGTTTTAATAAGATGTTCATTTTCTATTGAGTTTCTATAAAACGTTTTTATATTTTTGGATATTTTGTATTTGCATCGAGTTAAGTAGATTGGAAGGATATTTTTATGGTGGCTTTTTTATTTACGAGAATTCTTCTTAAAAATAATATCAGTACAACAGTTTTATGCTAGTAATATGTTGTTAAGACTCTGACAATTTGTAATCTGAATGTGCGGACTTAAACATTATACGGAAAGGCAAGCGAATATTCTCATTTTAAACTATTGACTGGTTGACATTTTTCATGTTTTGTATATCTAGGTACATGTATAGGCGAAACGTAATGCTAAGACAAAATATATTAACATTTCAATTTGCGTTTGAAATAAAACCGTTACCGTACATTATTTTTTTGTCTGTTCAGCTCATGATAAATTAATACTAATTTTTGACAATGATTTGATAGTTATTTAAAAATTAATCTAAACTGTCAAACAAATGTTTTGTGTGCTGGTCGAACACATCTTGCAGATTTTAAGTTTTTAAACATGTTCTCTCGTGTAGAAGAAAGTGCTTCTTGTTTTCATTAAGTTACATTTGTCGAATTAAATCTCTCCTCGTAACATAAGTACCATGAACTAGTGGAAGTAATACAACAACACGTTTTTCATAGTAAATATATTTATTTTACATATTTTAAACAGGACAATGCTTTAACAATTCTTGTTATAAATACAATATTTTAACATTATCAATTGACTTTATTAAAATTTACGGACTAAGACATACAAACAGAGCACTTAGAGATAAAATAAAAATAGTATTTTAAGAAGTCAAAATTAAAATTTGACTTATCAACAGATTTGTTGAGACAATGCGACTTATTTATTGGCAACGATTGGTAACTAACGTTGATAAGCTTGGAAATTAATAAATTGTATTTTTATTACCAAATATAATTTAAATAAAATAGTAAAATAAAAAAATGTATTGTTCAATACACGTAGCATAAAACTTTTCCATGATCTCGGTATGTGGAATGGTTAATAATATGTAGAGCCACGTTTTGAGTTTTTAAACAACCCCTTTCAGAAAAGAATGGGCTTATAATTTTACCAAAAGGTTATAGAATGTAGAGTCTTTTGAACATAATTATATAACTAGTTATAGTACATTAGATAATCATAACTTGGTACTTTTTAATGGCAAAATTATACAAAACGTAATACTTAATTTTAAAAATCTTGAAAATAAAGCAAAGAAAATTTAATAATTTTCTAAATTACACTTTGTTTATCAAAATAAAATTAGTAATTGAGTCAAGATAGATGCCCTCTTAAAGATCATTTTTTTATAATCTATGCAATTCTGTTTTTCAATTACAACCTACAACTTGACCGCAAATTCAATTCAATTTGTTACATACAACTTTAACCCTACTGAAAAATATTTCGTCAAAAAATGTTGGGTGGATTTATTAAAACAGCTTTGCTAATTTACAGCTTTTCGTGATTCCAATAGTTTTAGTCAAAGAAACTGTGAGTAATTTAAAATTTTACTCTTAAACAAATCTTTTATTCGCACCAGCCTTAAAAGTATAAAATTAGGGTTTAAATTCAACGTTTTAAGTTTGTTTGGTATTTAGTTTTCAATCTACTTTTCTAATGGTAAACGGAAAACTTAGCCCACACAATAATAATGTTGAAAATAGGAGTGCAATACTTTTGAGTATTTTTGGAAAACATGTTCTGATAGCAAAAATTGAAATGCAGTTAAAAGTGTATCTAGGACTTTTGTATCATGCTTCTAAAATAATACTTACAGTAGTGTTAAGATCAAGTACAAAAGTGGGCAAAATACTGCCATGGTATATATCATACAATAACTATCTATAAAATAAAGTAGCTATAATCACTTGTTCTAGTCTAGAATTGTTTCTACCACCTTACTACTAGTACGTCCTATAGTGTATAACAAGTACAACATCCACAATTCCTAGAGATCTAGTTGAATATCTTACAAAATACAATACAAATTTGGTCAAGTCAAGTAATGTTTTGGTAATACTCTAAGATATAAATATTCTGTGCAGTAATTTTGGTGTTTTATAACTATTAAGACCTGTAACAAGAAATATCAAAATACAATGTGGATTAGTTCAAATACACTCGTGTTGACGATAAGGTCCAGTTTAGTTAAAACACAACCAAGTGTTTGCCAAGATGTGATGTAATATAAAAATAGTAATATCATCAAGGGGATGAATAAATTATTGTATAAGCTGAAATAGGTATAGTTTACAATTCGGAATTTGCCAAAATTATTATTCTGTATTCCAAATAAAAATAATTGCATTTCTTGATAAGTGGGGCTGAATGAAAAAGTTAGTAGAAAGAGATTCTATAATGAAATCCTACATAAATGTAAAATATATCGTCCCGATTTATTATATGATCCGTGAAAAATTCCTACCAATATGTATACTGTGCGTACAGGCGTCCATATATCCTTTATATAAGGGGGGCAGGGGTGTCTGGTGGGGTACGAAGTAACCCTAGTAAAGAGAAGGGTCGACAAAATTGTAGATTTTACACATTTTTGTACCTTTGCTTTTGTCAACTTATTGTTTTAGCACCGTTTTTAAATTTTCAAACATGCTTACTGCTGTGGCCACTGGTACACCAAGTGGTACTTGGCCTTCCCAACATAATGCCCCAATTCTTCTCTACCTTTTGCACTTACTTTATCCTCAAGTCCTTTACCAATTGGCCCCAGGGTGTCATAGAAGATGAGGGCCTTAGCCCATGTTGATGGACGCCTGTGACTATGGGTAAGTTAAGTGGTGTTGAACCAATATATTCGAGCTAGAATACGTGAATACAAACCCCAATATCAAGAAATCCTTACAAAAATACATCGTACTTATTCTGTGCTGATGCCTGATGATAGTTTCTTGGTAGCCTATACTGTTTTGACATTAAGTTAAATAGTATTAGATCAATTAGAAAAGTGACGAAAATCAACATTACATGCGTCCTGTGAGTAGGAATATTGGTGTTAAGGCTAGAAACTTCAAACAGAACACGTGTCACATAGTACTTCTGAGTAAAAGGTACATTTCTGTGGGAGATCTTACTGCCTGTATTGCTACTTAACACTAATGGTGAATATACAGGATGAGATGATTATCGCAGCGAGCGGGATCCACTCAGGCACGACTTATTGCATTGTGAAGCTAAGGAAGGCTATCACAGGTAGTTGGGGCGGCACATACAGCAGAAGGAGCCTACGTTCCGGTAAAGGGAGTTCCGCCTTCGTTTCTTGGTCCACTTGCTGGTGGGGTCGTCTGCCACGAGCGCTGATCCTCTCTCTGTAACATACGGTGGAGTTTACTAAAGCCTTTGAGATGCACATTTGCCTAGAGATGGAAAATTTATTCAAATGTTAAAGTAGTAGCCAGTTTTTAATCGAAATGGACTAGTTGAATTTAGACTCCAACCACAGTGAAGTAAGGTGCATAGGAAACCTTCATGGTGACCAGTGTTAAGTCCTGGAGGAGGCTAAAGGATAAACTTAGGCCAAGAATACATCTAGTTTAAAATACCAATCTGTGAAAGCATCAGAGATTTCGTAGGCTAATCAGCAAAGGATGCAGATTTACAGCTTACCTGCAGCCGTCTCTTGCTGAGGCAGGAACTCCTGCATCTCGTGGACTATCCTGTTGAGTTCTTGCGAGTCCTTAGCGATGCTGTGTATCTCCTCCTGGTTAAAGTCCGGAGCGATCGTCTTACACAGCAGGATCTGACTGATCACGTTGCCCAGATTGGATGGTCCTGCTCGGTTTTCTATAAAAAATTTTTGAACATTAGAATCTCACCATCGGCTGTATTCAAGTATATTTGAATATAGCCACCAGCTGAGTGCACTGCTTTGAATTTGTGGTTTCTGCTGTCTACGCCAACTTTTTAACTGACCTCAATCAGCTGTTTATATAGTATAGCATATTTTATGTAAAATCGTGTGTCATTATTTCAAACCTAAGAAAAAAAGAGTTTTCAATGTAGCGAATCCTCAGAGAGGGGCATCCAACTATACTCTGCATTAAGGAACATGTCTCCTGACGTCTACCTGAGGACTGGACAATAGTTTACGTAGTTGTAAGGTATGGAGACAGGTTCCATTGTACAAAGTGCACAATATGTTCTACTTAAAGAAACTCTCTTGAATAGACTACATCTACTTAAACAGGTGGTTTATATAGATGATATGCCAACTTCATTGGCAAAAAGAAAATCTTTAAAGTGAGGTGGAACTGCTACCGAAACATTCAGTAAATCTTGCAAGGAACATATTACAGTTAGGCCTACTATTCAATAAATGAAAGTTCGTTACCAAAGTAGCCAGTCATGTCCATTGGCACGAGCTGAACGAGTCTGCTACACTTGGCGAGCTCTCGTAGAAACAGCTGACACATGAAGAACAGCAACACGAGGTGGGGATGGTCCGCGGGAATGCCCTCAGCTACGGCGCTGAAACAAGTAGGAGTTGATCAGCAGGAGAACAGAGTAGGCCTACAGTATAGTTCAGTCACTGTGCTTACATTTCAGACTGTGACTGAACTAGACGACATCACATATTTATTACGTGGTGGGCCATTTATTTCGATGGTTTTGAAGCTGATGATCTCAAAGATAACGTTGTTATACTCTTTAAGCCATTATTAAGTATTGTCTGTTTAAGTTTATCAATGGGACATTTCCCGACAAGTTTAAGTTGGCAGCAATATTTTCATTATTTAAATAAAATCGACATACTGACAAGAAGAATTTCCGACCGATTATTCTATCAAACAGATGTTGGATTACTTGAATCAGAGTCAATTCGCGGCAGAATGTCAATATAGGGTTATTAACGAGGGGAATTTTTCGGACGTTCTTGTCGTTTCAACCAAGAGATTTTGATGCTTGTCAAACAATTTCTGCAATTAGGTTTATTTTTATAGATCTTAAAAAACGGTTACTAACATAACCTAGACTGAACGATCCGCAGGGGGAATAGGAAAATAGAGTACAGTTTGAGGAAAAGAGCCCAATTATATTTAAATTGGGACAAAAGGAACAGCAGGAGGCAAATTTTCGAACAAAAAAAGGAGTACAGTATGATGCAAAGACATCCCATGTTTGAACTAGACCAGAAGTTCAATAGAAGGCTAATGCTGGAACAGGAGACCAGAGTAACATGAAAATAATACTTGTATTTGAACTGGACTAGGTAATCAAAATGCGTGTGATGTACGAACATGAGAACAGTGTATCATTAAACAGGAAGTCTTATGTTTTGGACATATGAGTTAGAACGTGTAGGTACCACGAGTAGTAGAAATTTTTATCAAGAGCGGAGAAAATTGACTTTAGCTCTGACTTGCTTTGATTTTGTGAATCAGAAGAACTATTTGGTAAGGAATATGTATAAGTTCATTGAGAAGCGTTCGATCAGCTCGGAGGTAGTAGAGTTTAATTTTGGGGGTTAGTTTTATAAAAGTAACATCGTAATAAGAAATATTGACAGAATTTGTAGATTTTATAAAGTGATCGATTAAAACCTTAGACTAACAACATGGGACTAGTAATTACAGTTAATTGATTATGTAGCTCAATATTACAGACATGACCAATTCTTAAGAACACAAGCAATTAGTGTGGTTTCAAAGTGAAATCAATCAGTTTCATTATTACAGTCAGTTGTGGCAGGCCTCTTGATATAATCAGTAGCTATATGGTACAATAACGTTTGTATTACAAATTGATAATTGTTCATTGAACAATGCAAACATTAATTTGGTGGACTCTGTTTGTTTGGGAAAACTAATTATGTTCTAAATATGTAATTACCTGTGGCGTAATTATCTATTGGAATTGAATAAAATTATCCAATACACAAAAGGCTCTCTACTGACACATAATAATTGCATTCGTTGTTTTGTGTTAAATTGCAATAGTGAAACAAGAGATTTACAAAAGAATATTGTTGTTTATCTAGGGAGCTTAAGTTTTAATTTCAAATGTGAAATTACCTGGTCAAGCTTAAATGTCATCATTTGTATGTATATTCATTTAAATATATTTTTTCGACATTTGATGAGGTGGACGATTTGGTAATCCTTAAGATACTTAAATATAAACAATTTATTAAAATACGTACAGAATGCATGTCAATTTTCAAAAATATTTCGGGAAATCAATATATATAATATGAAATGTAATCAAAAATTTATTTTTACTCTGAGCCCTTGACAAGAGGATGAAGATGATTAATCTGAACATGTAAAAATAAATAACAATACTAATTGGAGCAAAGCATTATAAAATATTTAACAAGATCCTTTCCCTGACAAATAAAAAAATATCCTCTCTTGTGAAACTGTTGATTTGACTGGCTAAATAACAGATTTCACATAGATATTTACTTGAGCATTCGTACGTATCTTGGGGAGCTTCGTTACCGTAGTTTGCATAGACCTAAACCTGGGACCAATTTACTTTTCTATTTTGGTGTCCCCAGAGGCCAAATCACTATTCGATTCACACTAATTGGTAACCCTGAATAAAAAGAAATAATTTGATCGAACCAAGCTTTAAAACTATCTAGTGTTGAATGATGGATGTGTATCAATCTCCTACAACATGTTTAAAGAATCACAATATTCTTTTCTGCGTCATCTTCTCGATACTAAACACAGGTATAGTAACTAGCCATAAACAAACTGATAGCCTATTTTAAATGAAAAAGTTGAGTAAAAATCCAATCAGAGAAATAGAGATTCGCTTAGTCTGAAGGTTAGATGCGGCAGGAGTATATTTTAATAATAGTCATCCTCAAAGTTTTTCAACTTTTTAAGGAAGTTTATTATATTATCTGTTTAAGTCAAGGTTGTTTACTATTCCGAAATATATTTAACACAGAAAATCAACTTACTCTATGTAACAGCAGAGTACTACCGCAAACTTACTTTGCCAATTTCATGGTATAATATGTTTCAAACTTGTTTTGCTTAGGGTGGCTTTTTGTAAAAGAGCTATTTTTTTAAATTGTTGCCCAATTGTTTCCAAGACCCTGGACAGTGGCTACAAAAAGTTGTTTAAAGTATTACAGCGGTTTAGGAATTAGTTCAAGAACGTTTTGTAAATAAATTTAACAGATTGCATTTTTATACGGTTTAAATATGTATACATCTTTTGTATATGGAACACAGTAGGTCAGTCAGAGTATGATAGGGCTAACATTAACGGTATAAAACCTACCATATCTTATCTCTTCTACCCCCACTGCCCCATATATCTTATAGGCTAACTTATCAACAATACTACTTCTTCATGTCTAGATCACCGCATGGATAAACTATCCCTTTTTTACTGACAGTTAAGGTAAAAGAACTAACTAAAAAAAATCTTCTTACTACCAATACTTTGATTTTATCAAATATAGTTTATAGTATAAAGTTTTTTGTTGTATCTCCTGATAAAAAGAAAAACTTGCTCTGGGCTTGTTTGTCATTAATTTGTGTAGGAGTCGTAAGTATATTGTATAAGAAGAAATAAAAAAACCCGGGTAATGTGAAAGCAGTACTTGAGGAGCGATTGTAGGATATTAACCCGCCCGGGGAGGTACAGTCTCGTCAACAAACACAATATACTGTTGTATAAATATTTGAGTACGATTGTTGCCAAACTTACATTGTGTCTGGAGTAAAAGTGAAACGAATGGCAAAGCTTGGGCTGTAGGTTGCACCACGATTAATCATGCTTTTTCTAATTGTGTGTAATTTTTTAAATTTAAAAACAAGTAAGCTGTGGAAAATGTTTTTTTAGTCGGTAATGCAAAAGTTTATGAGTTTTTAAAATAGTATTTTCGATCTTTTCAGTATTTGTCACATTTTTTACCTTTTACCCTCAGGGAAATTACATTTGGTCCGTTATGAAAATTTAATTTGTAATAAAAAAAAAATGCTTGTGGCTGAAAATACACACAATTGATAGTGAAAATTTCGTAAAATGCCATTCTGATTAGGCTTAAAGATTTTCAGCTGATATATTCAATAAAAAAAAACTTACTATTAACACTTTTTTGTGCATAAAGATTGAAACAATTCTTTTAAAGAAAGTTAAAACAGCGGTCAGAATTTCCAAACGTATAATGTATTTCCATATACTTTAAACAAATTTCCATTGAGATACTGTCTCCCTAAATGTGATTAGGATATTCTTTTTCGTGTCTAGTTAAATTTGTTAGTAAAACAGTAATAAGTAATCTTATAAATACAAGAAACCAAGGTTTTGACAAGGAAAAGAAATTTCGTAACAAAAAACATAACAAATCCGGGAAGCAGTTTCCGAATGATATGCAATAAAAATTATATTTGTTAAGAGATAACGCGTAACGTTTTAACCAATCGTAGCAATCATACGATGATTGGTATCGTTTACAACCGTCCACAGCCACCAATTATAGCCATGGCAATTAAAGGTTTAATAAAAGCAATCATATACAGTTCAACACATTTTACATCGAGTGTAAATACAATTGGCCCATTTCCCTGAGCAATTTATTTTTATTTTCCAGGAACTTCAAAAACGAATCTAAAAGTAGAGCTTTAATAGTTTATGAATGCTAGTCATACGTAATTTAATCATAAAAACGAGGAACCTTTTCTGTTCACCAACCTCATCCTTCATATCTTCTAAGTCAACAATTTTAATTTTAGGTCACTATACCCATTTATATGAACAAACCAGAAAATAATTATGAGTAAAATTAAACTTTATTATTATTTTTTTAAGAGGTTAGCGGCCTCTTTTAACCTTGAATTTGCCCGTTCTCGTAGACTATGAGCCTGTGCGTAGAACGTATCCAGCAAAGCAAGGGGTGAGCCGGTACAGTACAAGGGTGGCCAGCTTCCGAACTCACGACATCGCTGCCTTGGGCCCAAAGTCCATGACGCTACCGACTGAGCCACCGACTTAAAGTCGTTTAGTTGTGGCTAATACAACAAAGACGGGCAAACATCGTACGATAAAAACTGACCATTTGGTAATGAAATCGTGTTACTCTTTTGTAGACACCATGTAAGATAACAAAATAATAACCTAATAGATTTTTGAGGTGTTAAGATAATGAATAATGAACCTCACCTGCGTATCTGAGGCAGTAGGAGCTGACTGGTGTGCTTGCATGCGTCCACGCAGGTCCTGCGGAGTTTACGGATCTTCTCTCTGAGCTCCGGACAGTCACGTGACGTCCCTATGTGGATGAGAAGATCTCGGAACAACGCCACCTGACTGTTGATCTCTGTGATTAGCTGAAACACCAAACACACCATCACCAAACAACTCGCACCATCCACAAAAACTCGCACCATCCACTTCAACATTTGCTGAAACATCAAACATATCATCACCAAAGACTCGCATCATAAACAACAACAAGCATCATCCACAACAACGTGCATCATCCACAACAACATTATCGGTAAACATCAAACACACCATCACCAACAACTCGCACCACCTACATCAACATTATCGGTAAACATCAAACACACCATCACCAACAACTCGCACCATCCACAACAACATTGGCTGTAATGTAAAACACACACATCATTACCAACAACTCGCACCATCCACAACAACATTGGCTGTAATGTAAAACCCATTATCAACAAACACGTGCACCATCCACAACAACATTGGCTGTAATGTAAAACACATCATCATCAACAATTCGCATCATCCAAAACAAAATTTGATGAAAGATCAATCACAGTATCAACAACAACGAGCATCATCCACAGCAACATCTTTCACACAACTATTAGGTATACAATATAGTTTATCTCACCCCATAAAGGTGAGATGGTTTTAGTGTACATACTAATAATATCTTTTATCTTGAAATTTATAAAAAAGCTAGTTAATACAAAAACCATACAAATGAACTCTATTTTACACTCTAAACTCATTTAAGTTATTCTACGCACTACTACTACATCCATCACCATCAATATACGAAAAGCTCTGATGTAACTGTGTATCAAGAGCTTTTTGAATATGCCACTTTGAACTTTATACTTACACACAATTTATAATTATTAAACTGTTGTTTGAAAAATATTATCCAATCACTATTCTGGAATCAGATCTTATATTGGTAATGAATTAAAGTAAATTGAACTTGAAAAAAATATAAGTCAATCTTTTGAGAGAAAAATCTTTGGTCGTATGCTCATAGGCTTTAAGCAATCGATTAAATCAGAACCCTAATTCTCCGGCTTTTTCCTACTGGTTTTTCCAATTAGTTAAAACTACTAGTTTCACAAATATGAAGTTATAAAAATTGTTTAAAATAGGCCCAAACAGAAAAAGTTGATAAAACTGACAAAGGAGTTTTGTTAAAAATATTTGTAAATTATAAAACTATCTTTCATACAACTTACATCGCCAGCTGCGAATCTTCCAGGCATATCTTTTCCTCTTTACCTACTCAATAAACTAACAATTTGTGATGTACAAATTTCTGTGTACTGTAATAAAGAACGAGTTAGAAAAAAATTCTAAATTATTCAGTTTTGAGGATTAATTTGACTTAAAATCTGTTTTCTACTTTACATGATTTAGTGATTAAAAGACGGGACGAGTGTCGAGTGAAGGTATACAGATATAAATCCATGCATATGCAAATACAACTGTGATTGAAAGGGTTTGTTTTGTGCCTTCATCAAGTCGAAGCTATTCAATGAATACAAGTGAACATGTTACTTGGAGTTGAGTTATGTAAGCTACCATCTTTATAAATTCCAGTTACAGTTAGTTTTTGTTAAAAACAATGGATAAGTATAGGTGGTGTAAAATAGAGTGGCGAGTGGGTACTCATGTGGACAATAACTCCACCCTTACCTTCGTCGCTTTTGTTATTTTGTACAGTCATCTTGACAAACGGCCTTTAGATTAACTTAATACATCTTGCTTATGTTGGGGCTTAAGTGTTGTTTGGAGCATTTCCTCAGACCCGAACTAGACGCCATCCTAGTCTACACTACCCTTTAAAAATACCTTTTTTTATTGGTTAATATAAGAATTTTTTTATAAATAAATTAAATCGCAATCTAATTACTTGTCAAATTCTGACTTAGTAATTAAATTAACAACAAATTGGCAATTTGTTTGATGGTATGGGGTAAATACTTTTAATATTTACGAAGCACATCAATTGAGTAAAATTTTCCATTTGATAAAAATATTTATTTATTAATTTTTTTTATTTTTTTTTATAAAGTATTTATAGTTTAAACGTTGACATCCTCACTTACAAAATGTTATCAATATCGTGTGATTAAAAATAATTTTCATTTATTTTTCAACGTTGTATTTTGAAATAATGTATACATTTAATATGGTAGATTTTATGTCGATAACTAGTATTACCATCAAACGTCTTATAATTTTAAGTTAAGAAACTATGATTTTATGTTTTATATTAATAAATACACGCTTTTAACTTTATCTACCAGTCAGGAAAATTAAACGATGTATCAAAACACACAATTTTAAAATCTTGTCACGAGAGTTAACTATGTGCCTTGATATTATTCTTACTTTTAATGGCCTAGAAATCACTAGGACTATGCTGCTTGCTATTTACAATATTTACAAACGTAAAAATAAATGTAAAACAAGGCTGTAGGGCTTCGCCTGTCAATAAATTTCAACGAATAACTGCTAACACCCGACATAAAATAAACGTCCATTGGAAGAATACCTTTGGGTAATACATACGTCACCCGAGTGTTTTCTTATCATAAAACTGAAACACATTGATTGAAAACCAACCCAGACCAATAAAATGAAAGTGTTAGCCTGTAATGTTTTTTTTTTGCCAAAATATAATCTAAATTAATTAATGATTCTGAAAAAAATTTAGAAGCAGATACTTCACTCATTGTATGCGATTCGAATCTTAGAAGCACGGTAAAGAAAACTTCGACGTTGACCAAATTAAAAACCCTTATGTTTGCATACAGCATTTCTTTTATGCTGGGCGAAAAATATATGCATCTTGTGGAAGGGCGTGTAGAGGGGTAAGTTTTAACAACCACCAAGAATAAAGTCCCAATTAGTGTGAGTCTAAAGAACTGGCCACACTTAGGGCTGGAGAACCCTTGTGTTGGCGAGGGATGTATCTATTGTTTGTCTAAAGGAGGTTGTACCTTGAAAATATAGCGCTGCGATCTGGATATTTGTCTAAGCTGATACAAATAGTAAAAAATATTTCAGTACATAAAATTTTAGTTATGGTTATTTAATTAAGTCCTTTTAATTAATATTGTCTTTCCTAATTTTTTGTGTTTTTATTTTATTTTGTGCGTTTCACCATTGGAATGCTTCAATATTTATAAGGGAATGGTTCATACAAATCCCTACTGTTCAAAAACTACCTTCGTTAGATAGTACCAATACCTCATCCCCTAAACGAAAATTAATATTTTAGTAAAAAGCCAATGAGACAAAGAAAATTAAATTGCTCTGCATGTTTGCTGCGACAGGGGTATTTTCTACATCGAAGGACAGCTATAAATCTAACTATTTGAATTGCTTAATATATATCTTTTTATTTGGTTAAAACATATCGTCCAGTATTGGAACCAAATCAAATCAGCCTTCATGTAAAGACAATATACCTTCAAGTTTTCACGAGCCAAAAAACCCAATACCATTACTGAACGATACTTATGTATGCAAAAATTAATTAATATTACAGCGATCTACAGTTATGAGTTAACCGATTTTCCAGTGGCGAGTAAACCTTTATTTAGAGGGAAAATTTCCACGGACGAACAGGAGTGACAGTTCATTAGTGAGTTCATTTATCAAATCTTTTAAACGGTGTTTTCATTCATTTGCTCCCACTAATGTTTGAGAGCGACGAACAGCTGATGTGTAGCGTTAGCGGCAATTTATATCAGCTGTTTACACTAAATTATTACCTTTTAGGTAGTCATAGTATTTTTTATTTGCTGGGCCTGTTTTAAAATAAATTACAAACAACTACTAAATCAGCTGATCGACCAATGCAAATCTAATGGAAATTACAAAATACGTAGCCTGTAGTTTATTATAATCCCCCTGATAGTTGCTTGCTTACTTGGTAAGTTTAGTTGCTTATTTGGTCGAGCGAAGTTTCGTATTAAAATAGGTTTTAAATTAAAATTGGTTTCTATGATTACATTATATTATACACAAAAGGAGTACTTTAGTTGGCTTCTAGTTTGATGAAGTTCATTCCAAACCATCTAAACATCTGAAAATGTAATAATACTCCCGCCACTGCAAGCTTGCAGACTAGGTGAGTTTCCATTTGTCTGATCGGGATTTATTAAAATATTATCTCAATGTCTGATTTATTATTATCCCAGAGTATTACTCTGAGTTATTATTAAACAACATTAGGTTTAATGTTACGGGGAAGGAAAAGTTGTCATTTTAGCAAATGGCACACATATTGAAAATATATTTTGTTCACTAAACAACCGATATATATAAATTTGAACGAACTGAATTTTTTGCCTCGGGCGAAACTAGATGGAAAAGTAAATCGATCCCGTGGCAAGTTCTTACGATAACATTACATTAAGAGCGGCTTCCCTTTGGCGGAAATCCTCAAAAAAATCTTATTTGACTTGTGTATTTAATTTATTATGTCCTAATTTAAGTCATGAGCAAAACCTCAACTTTCTATGGATTACCTTTTCCTTGTAAAGTAAAGGGATTTGCTTTAGTTTTTCTTCATTCAGATGGAAGGATTTTATCGAATTTTCGCAAGTAAAAGATTTACCTCTTTTTTATTAATACGGCTCATTGGCTATACAACTGTATATTTTACACATCCCGTAGCGTAGTTTGCTATTTTCATTGCATGTGTTGCACAGTAACTTTTATTCCTTGAGCAAAAATAATTTTTTCGTGTGATTAATAAATACGCCATCGTACAAAATTAAAATGCGTTAATATTCAGCAATAATGAACAGATAATTCTGTAATTTTATTTCTAAAATAAAAACAAGTAATAAAACTACAACTTGATCTAGTAGTTTACATTCACTTTTTGCATTTCGCCAGCTTTTTGGAACCTTCAGGGGGTATTATTAATATATACTCATATCACTAAGCATATTGTCTATTATTAACAAGGTATTAACGCATGTCACTGGTATTGTGGTCATGTGCAAATATTTTGTAAATAATATACAGTGTTCGCGTTAGTGATATTAAGATAACATGTGAAGATGGCACACACGCTAGTCAAATGTAGGCAACACAAAAATGTAATTAATTACAATTCAAGATCTTAAAACTGCGATTAAACAAAAATGTAACAATTTCGGTCAATTAAGCTAAACAAAGGTGCAGTATGACGAAAAACTCAATTCATATAGTCGGCAATCAAATAATTTTAACTAAACCTTAGTTTCAATAAAAAAAAACGGAACTGTAGGTCTTATTGATGGAAGAATTTACAATGAAACATAAAAAATCATGCATTGCATTAATTTAAACGTAATATTAATACGTTGAAAACAAAACAATTTTTTAATGTTTCCTACAAATTTTTTAAGATACGGCGATGGTTCTATTTTCCCAACAACATTAAATAACCTTTTTTTCTATACCAAAATACAAATTTAAATAGGAAGAATTAAATATTTCTCAAGATATAGGCTAGTATAAAGTCTTCCAATACAAATCGTAATGGAAATATCGAATGTGCAAAGAAACGTCCGGTTCTGTTATTGGACGCTGAGGTGTCATTTCACACACACTGCGTCTGCTTCTGGGGTTGACACAATTTATTGTGTGTCAAAAGTCCCCAGTCAGCGCCACCCGATGGAAGCGATATTTTATAAACGACAACTTTGTTGCATTTTGTTATATCCAGAAGAATCAATGGTTTATTCATACAATTAATTGTAGTTATGTTTTCATAATTTCCAGTTTTTTTTTGTGTATTTGTAAAAGGTTTTTAGATCTTTATTAAAAAAAATGTTGTGGTCCTTAAAAATGGTGCCTCATTTCAATGCTTACGTCTTAGTAAAAAATAGTGTAAAAACGTGCAGGATATGCACAAAAAGTGGAACTAGCCGAACTGAAAAGATGTTGGTAGTTGGGACCCTTATCCATGTATTTAAATTGAATATAAATACCTCAGTGTTCAAAATGTCGTGGGGGGGTATTTTGCAGCTCTGTTATTGACAAAGTTTACCACAGTCCTTTGTCCTTTATAATTTAGAAATAAAATTATTAACAGTATTAGGTTTTTACTTTAAGTTATTGATCTACTTATGGACTCTCTCGCAGAAGAACTTCTCATAAAATGTAGGTGGCATTTGATTCAGATTGTATTTGAAAACTTTCGTACTAACACGAAATGGGAACAATGAGTTTAATTTTCATTGTTGTCCCTTCATTAAAATTTGAGAAATAACGTGTATAAACCATTGACTACTCAAGCAGTATGATTGTCTCAAAATATTCAATATGGCTTAAAATACAAGCGATTGAGGGATGAAAATACATAATAAGTACACCCCATGCTTTCACCGAACGTTGTATGACGAACAAACTAAATTTAGCCAATAAATGTTAACTTAACTACACGTTTTACGGACTTCTCATAAATCTTTCCGGGTTTTTCATTATTGTATTTAAAACACAGCTTTATTTTCAATCGAATTAATATTTTTTTACCGTACTCACAATTAGAAATACGCTTACGTCCTACCTTCTTATCCTAGGAAGGTTGGCACCAGCCCAGAATTGTTTTACTCTTTATCATGATAAACATTGACTCTCATGGAATTATTGAATAGTTAAAACCCATTGGTGATTGGCGGGATTTGAATCCGAGAATTCAGGGACTGAACCTTCCTTTTTCCAATGACCATATCACTCTCCACATTAAATAATATAAATTTTACTGACAATAAACTTAAAAAATATTTAAATCGTGTAAAAGTTTACTTATAATTCCATTATAACAGGGAGTTCATCAAGAAACCATCCAGATACATTTTTGATAGTGATATAAGTGGTATAAAAACACTCCACCGCGGAATATCAGTGTTTTCTCTGGACCATATGCAACAAAAGTTTTACTAGTCAACTTTACTCGTGCATGCGGTGAGTTAAGACTACTTACAGTGAGCGGACTTCTTTGCTCATCGTGCTGGTGATAATGTAGTAAGTGAAGTGAAGCCATCACCATGAAATGTCCGACATCTTGAAACGATCATCTGCAGTGCTCACTCACTTGTTTACGTGTGTGTGATGTATCAAAGCTAACACATTGTAATGTTGACACTATGTAATCAGTGTTTTAGGTGCAGTCTTACTGGAAATATGTGTTTGTCAGTGAGATATAGTCTAACTAACGCATTTCGAAATGCAATTAATATAAAATATACAGTGCTCACTTACTGGAAGGATGTGTTAAAGTTAGTGTATCAAATATAACGCCATCTTGGAAAGTCTTGAATGTTCTAAGGTGCACATTCACTTACTGAGGGATGTGTATACTGCAATATATATGAATCATGTTAGATCCCTTCAGTTAGGAGTTAAGTTTGTTTGCCAAACATTATGTACTTCATCCCCATTGAGTTACTTTGAGAAAAGAATAATTTTACCTAGTGTACCGACAAGGGTTTTCTATACAATTTGCTATTAAGTGTTGAGTTAAGTGTAAAGTTGAAGAATTCACTATAACTGTTTTTGTATTCTTCATGCTTTTTCCTGGGGGTTTTATAGGTATTAATTAATTTGTATTACACTTTAAATTTATGAGGATGAAAACTAAATTATTTAGTTAATGCAACAGCTTACTTTTTCACTTAATTTGATTTTAAAACACATATTTAGCCTATAAATGGGCATAAATGTAATCATGGTATAAAAGTCTTACCAGGTTGGTTTGTTATTGTAAATTAGTAATTTTTGATATTGTAAGTTTGTAGTGTTATTCTTAATTATTCGACTTATTTATACTGTATTAAAATTTGTTAGTAAATGAACTTAAACACTTTTCTTATGGCTTCTACACTAAACTGAATACAAATTTGAAACTGTGTTGTTCCTAAATTGGTTTCTTGTGTTTCAAAGTGTTACCACAATTTCGGTTTTATATTGTAACTAGTTTGGGGACTATGTTAGCAACGTTTCTACAGGGACCAGACAACATTTTAGATCAACATACGTGGAAGTTAGTCCTTCTATGGCGTTGACATGATTCAACAGTGAATATCGGCAAACCCAAGTCAGACATTGCAACTGTATCCTGTGAAGATTGCGTTGAAAATGTGTAAAAATACTGGACAAAAATCTGTAAGAGAAGATAGGCAATTCAAAATGCTATCATGCAGAGGGTTCTGTCAAAATACAAAAGCATTACAGAGATGTGCCAAAATTAGAGCTCGGGTCATTAAATCGAGGAAAATAATGTAGATGTAGTAAATTTTAGTTATATTTAGAGTAATTTGGAGTATTTTATTTTATAGTTTTGATTTGTATAAAAAACATCTTTAATTAATCATAATTAATGCCGTTATATTCTATAGGTGTTTAAATACGTCATCTGTTATAAACGTATTTGTTTATAAACATGTTTAACGGTTTAATTTTTAGCTAAAATATTTTTTATATTGTTTTAATTTTTATTAAAAAACAATATTTTACAACTTTTAGAAAATCATAATTTAGGCCGATTAAATAAATTTTAGTTTCTAAGTATAATTGACTTTACTGAGGATTTTGCCTTGATAAGTTTAATTAAGAATGAAATCATATGTTTTGTTGATAGGCAATTCAATAAAAAGTTGTGTCAAAATAATTAGCCTGGTTTAGTTCTAGAATAAAATATTTTTAAACATTATGGCATCGTTCAAAAATCTAAAACTGTTAAGTAATTAACAGTAACAATTACGTTTTACGAGCCTAAAACTAAATATGGTTTTAAATGACTTTCTAGTTTAAAAAAAATTTATATTTTTATTGTAAAAAAATCTCTCTAAAATGTAGTTTTTTGATAAACCGGTGTGTCAAAAAATATAATGGTTCAAAGAAATATAAATACGATTAATATATTCTATTTTGAATACACTTTTTTCTTAAAATAATCACCAAACACAACTCACGAGTCCTCGATGTGAAAGCCGCGCTAACACTGGGTTAAACAATAGAGGGTGAGAACTACCCCTTCACCGCGCATGTGCAACCCTATAGGGTGGTGTTGGGTTGAAATAGAATATTGTATACACTAAAATACTAGTTTAATTACTTGAAACGATTGGGTTACATTTTTGCATTGCTGAAAATATTGTTTGACTCAGTCTTGGCAGATTTTGTGAACCGACATTTTGCTGTGAATTTTCATTGCAGAATATTTGTTCAATAGCATGGACGAAAGGCAAAACTATTTTACATAAAAAAACCTCAATATTTTCATGAATTTTTACAGTTGCAGTCTGTAAAATATAGATGGAAATTTTTAACGCAAAGGTAGCTTAGTTTATGAGAAGGAAAAATGATTAAACGGTAAACTGTGTAATTTATCTTGCAAAAAAAGTATCAAATTAATATAACAAAATCCAAATGTTATTGATGAGCTTAGTAAATTTAAAAAATATGATTATTTGGAAATAGAAATAAAAAAATTAAATATAAGAATACTTTCATTTGTAATTTTTATTAAAAAGTTTTAAATAGTTTTAAAAACACTATGTGGTTTTACTTTTTAAATATAGAACTAGGAAATATTCAAAAAAAGTTTGCATATTTCTTTCCTTGAACTCGTCTGCTAATTTTAAATTTCGTCGTGCAAACTTTTCAATCTATGTATTCCCAAATGACCTATTAAATAAATAGTTTATAAACATAATATAAGAAAATAATTATGCTAAAGTATTTGAATCCAATTCCGTATCATACAATGATATATGTTAGTAGTCAGATTTTCATCTTATTCTGAAAATTGTAGTTAAGTTAAAATAAATTATGAATATTTGCCATGTATATTTTATGATGTTATACAAGTTATAAAACAATTTAAAATTTTCCGAATTTCCTTTGTTTGCCCTAAAACACAATAAAACATAAGCTTTAGAAAAACTTCAATTAAAACGGAAGCCTAGATATGAGAGGTGTATATTATTCGTACTCAAAAATACATTTGAAATATGCTGTAAACCAAATACCTTATAATATACATGGCTTATTATGGTTTTGGTTATAACGAAATAAATTATAAATTTCGGCTGACCATACATATTGTTACTTTTACATGAACGTCTGCTTTTAGAATAACCTCGACGAAGCTTCTCTGTCGCGTCAGGCAACTAAATTAAACTCTTTGTTAACCAAAAATCCAATTTGCATCTACAGGTGTAACAGCTGTTAGCTCTTAAAATAGTCCTGAGTACCTTTTGTTGGTCACTAGTAATCATTTCGACAATGTACAATAGGTATTTAAGGTTTTTTGATTACTTCAATCAAATATTGTGCTTATGAAATAATTTATTACACAAATTCTTTCCAAGGCTTTAATTAACTTATACATTTTAAAACTAAGAAAATATTAATTCATACTAGAATGAAATGTTTACTTTATTGTTGATATTGCTTATTTTATTTTTATGAATAATCTTAACTTTAAGTTATGCAACTTCTTACGCTACACCAAACTATTAACCAGTAACTATAGTCACTAATTTAATGTTAAAGATATTTTTTACTTTTCTAGTGATATAATAAAATCTTTTATCATGCACAAAAAATATTTTTTAGTGTTCCATCAATTTTTAAAGCCTCTAGACCTTAGTGGTTATAAAGACGAATAATCAGATTTTACACCATGATAAAACTTGATTTAACATAACGGAATTAGATAACGCGATTTAATAAGTAAACATGTAAACCTTGAGATTGCAAACACAATATACAAATAGTATATTTCAGAATATTTTCGTCTGAATTTTATTCCATGGATAGTTTAAGGCAAAGAAAAATACAAACTTCTTTACCAGAAAGCAAAATGCAAAATTCGCAACTCTCAATATTGCCTCCAAACTCTCTCTCTCTCTCTCTCCAAACTTTGTCATTTAAACTTTCCATTTTAATACCTTCCCTGTTTCATGAGGCATAAAATCATAAGTTTGTTGCTTTCAGGTCACAGATTTTCTTTTTCAGTTCAACTTAAAAGTGAGCAGTAAAACTGTTGCCGACTTGGGATTTAAAAACAAAACAAGATATGTATTTTCCTAACACTTCAGGATGTAGTTGAAATTAATTGATCGATAATGAGCCATATAATATTGGGTGCATGGCTATTTAGACTGTTTATTTATTGGATTTAAAAAACAATACACTTTCAGATAGAAAATTTAATGCAATTCCCAAAAATGCCATTAAAAGTATCATTATGCAGGCTAAAAGTTGAGAAAAATTATATTTTTTGAAAATGTCAAGAAATTTGGAAAAATCTAAATACTGCTGTTGCCGAAAGTAGAAGTGAGATATAACTATGCTAATAGCGTATTTTTACCACAATTTGCATGCAATGTTTTAAAATCTTTGAAACTGACTACAAAACACCCTGTATATTAAATTATAGCTGTAACTCCAAGCAATAAAACAAATTTACATTGAATAATGTACAATACTGTAACATCGTCTTTAGCGTTCACTTTAGTAGTTGAGGTTAACATGCAGGTTAATATACTGAACGACAAGAAGCTTATTGGATCTTGTACCCCCTTATCTACAATTATCAGGGTAGACTTGGTGAACATTGGCTTGACTACAACAACGTGATATACTCAATATAGGCCTGCCCAATAGAGCACTTTGAGAATAATGATATTACATAAACTTATTCAAATATATTTTTGGTTGAATGTTGTAACATGCGAAATTACATCATAAAAAAATAAACAAGAGTTTCGATTACTTTAATTTCTTAAGACTAAGGTACAGCCAGTAAAGTAAAACATGTTATCAATGAAATATGATATTCAATTTTTACAATCGAGTGTTTTGAAAGGGACATTAAAACTAAAACTTACATCTTTTATAATAAAATACGATCTTATACTTTAAGGTTGAAATAACAAATAGTAATGTATGTTTAGAGTTACTAAATGGTGAGAACAGCATTGTGTAAAGAATAAAATATAATTTTGCTAGAAAAATTTAAACTGTAACAGCTTAAAATAGAGATAAGACTTTCGCACTAATGTAGAAACAAAAACCCCAAGATCTATGAGGATGAAAATACCTTAAGGCTGAACAAAACCAACCACATAAAAATAATAATCGGCAACAAGTTTTCAATTGGTCCTCCATGACTGTTTAATGGTATAGGCTATGTCAAAATTGTAGGTTTTTATAGGAAACAAAATAAAACGTTAATACACCAATGTTGAACCTCTATGGGATTGATAACTGACCTAAAAAAGATCCAAACACATTTTAGATTTAATCTTTCACAACCATTAGGGGTTTAAAATTTCTTTCATAAAGGACAATCTAAACCCGAGTATCTTTTGGTTATATAACGCGAACCTGTTTTCGATCGATTTATTAATAGTCAAACGATAAGGAAGTTTTATCGATGAGCAATAGTAAACAAGAGTTCCTTGATTTCCTTTAATTCATTCCTTGTGAATCTAATTAAATCACAAAAGGATCCTTTATTGCAATTACCTTCTATTGCTTCTTTGAGAATGTTTATATAATTATCTTGAAATTTATTGAGTTTTTTATATTGCCATTTAAATATTTGCCATGAATTTGTATTCTAGTGTAACATTAATGCCCTTACAAACTACAATTCTGAAAATAAAACCACTCGGCAGCGAAGTGTGGGAATAGAATGATGAGCCCGTTTGTTTCGGAAAATGTAATTTGAAACCGATTGAATCACACAATTGGGATTTGATTTAACTCGACTCCACCCGGCTGTTTTTATTCAATTGTCATTTATATCCCTAGTCTCGTGAAACATATAGTCAAAACATAATACCTAAATAAACACACAATGAACATGTTTGTAGCTCCAATTCATTAGGTATTTGTAATTGAATTTTAGCGTTTTATACACCTAGTGAAAACAATTCTTATTAGGATTTTGTTATTTTGAAAAAGTTCCAACAAACCGATGAATTGGTATGTTAAATCAACATTAATATAGTTCTCGTAACAAATACAATTCAAATCAAATGTGAGCAACAACTTTAGTGATAGAATAAAGGTTTACGCTTTTTAAGGATTTAAATTTTACACGTTAATGTTAATTTATCTTCGGTTTCAAAAATAAAATCTAGCCACAGATTTAGCAAATCTAAGTTAGCAGATATACTTTCATACCGAAATTAGTAAAACTTAGTTTAAAGATTAAGCTAGATGTATAGTGACACTAGGTAAAATATACATTCTAACTGCCGTCAAAGATCAAATTTTGTGTTTTATTGTAAGAATATATATAACCAAGGTATGTGAACATGATTAGTAAGTGTATCATTATCAACTACCCTAGAAAATCCCTACAAAACTGAAACTTCAAAAAATATCAATATAATATAAATATACAGTAAATATCTATGGATATATTTTTTTAAAAGTGGTTCTAAAAGTTGTTGATGGACAATGAAAATCAACAGAAAAACAAAATTTTAGTGTTTGATCAATTTTGTGAGTTACTGCTAACCAACGTAAATGTATTAGGGCAGGTTACTGGATAATTAACTTACAGCCTTAAGGTGATCAACGACCAAGGGAATTGAGCAATTTAGGGTTATTAACTATTACAGGCATTTGGTACTTAACATTATAAAACACATTTCACGGCAAATATGCACACAGGTCAATTCGAAATTGGATCAAAACACATATATTATGTCTAAGGTCTTTAAAAGTACATATAATAATATATGGGACATTATTAGGAGATTTAGAGAAACATAATGTTACGAAACATAACGTCATGTAATACAATGATATGCGTATTTTTAAGTTGTTAAAATAAGCTAAATAAACAATTAATTTCATATCGAGGGTACCTGGATTACCTTATTGGCTAATGCAATGAAAAAAATATAACAATCTTGAATTACATAATAAAGTAAAATAGTGCCGTGTT